GCCATCGACAGCACCTGCGGGGACAAGGCACAGCCATCACAGACACAGCCCCGGAGCCAGGTGGGCTTTCTGAAGAGCATGGCCTTCATGCTGGATGCAACCTGTTCCCCATCTGGGTGGGAATGGCTGCAGGACGGCATGGGGACATGTGTGGCACAGAGCATTGCTGCAGATCAGCATGGGGACATGTGTGTCACGGGGCATTGCTGCATGTCAATATGGGGACATGTGTGGCACTGAGCACCCAGGTCCCGAGGAGGCCGAGGTGCAGGAGCCCCCATGTGTCATGTTTCCCCCTACAACGTCCCCACGGCACAGGGCAGTCCTCTGCCATTGCCCCAACCCAGCTGGGCTGAGTGCATGGCAAGCGCTAGGGAGGGGATGGCTTTCAGGGAGCAGGATGAGGGGCTCGCTGTGCCCATCCCAGCACACTCCAAAGCACAGACCTCACCCACCCCATGTCCTGCCGTGGTAGCCACCCCACAGCGCCCACCCCATGCCCTGCTCTGTTACTGGTGCTTCAGCCTCCTTGGCCACAAGCATCGCACTGGGGGACACGGGCAGGCGAGGCAGCCCCCTGCCCTCACTGTGGCACCGTCTGCTCCCTGTTCAAGGGTAGGTTTTGCTTTGCCCTTGGCAGCCACCCTGCAGCACCCTTTGGACCCAGGATTTCCTCTCTGCGGCGCTGGAAATGGGTCAGAGCTCAGGTCTGCCTCTGATCCTGGCTGTGGTGCTCAGCACTTTCAGCAATACCCGCTCTTCCTTCACACCGGGAGCAGCATTGGGAGGGCAAACTCCCGGCGAGGGGTTACAGAGCCTGGGGTCATGCACCCCTGGAAGAGGGGTGGCTGGTACACGGGGACACACCAGACACGCCAATGGCTCCGCCACAGTCACACATGGCCGCCGTGGCCCCTGGCTCAGCCCAAATCACTGCTCATCCCCACATGGAGCAGAGCCCCTGTACTGCCATGGGGCAGAGTGCACCCTCGGGTGCTTGCACTTGTGCTTAGCAGCTGGGACCAGCTGAGTTTTTATGAGCCCCAAGCGGCAGCGGGGTATCGACTGTGCCTGGCACACCCTGCGGCACTTGCAGGAGGTTTCACCATCATTTCTCTAGTCCCAGTTTCGGTTTCTGCAGCCTCTCCTCCCCTATTGTGTCCCCACTCCTTCCCCAGCACCTTTCATCCCTTGGCATCCCGATGGACACCCAGCACTGGGACTTTGCCTCCCCTGGGCCATGAAAGCTCCTTTGGGCCAAAAATAAAGTCCCTCTCCCTGTGAAAGGGAGAGCAGCCTCCCAAGAGGTCAGGGGGCCAGGATGATGGGAACCCATCCCAGGCACCTCTCCCCAGCCAGCGGGACCGGGACCACAAGAGACACTCAAAATGAGGTGCATGACCACCCGCAGCAGTGACAAGCGGTGGCCCCATGGATCCCGGCAGGGACGCTTGACGGATCATCATGCTAACATTTCCACCCAGCCACCGGCAGCACAGGGCTGCAGGAACGTTCTCCACCATTCCCGTTCCCAGTGAAGGGATGGGGGAGCTGGGAGCCCTCAAGCCCCCTGACCCAGATGAGACACCCGGAGCCAGGCAGCTGGTGTCACCCATCATCCCCACGCACCCCGAGGCAGGAGGGAAGGATGTTCCCAAGCCAGTGGAGCGCCAGCTGCACCCTGGCACAACTTGTCGTGCCGGAAGCAAGATAGGCAAAACACCCGGCGTTGCCCACACTGGCCCCGGGGTGCTCCCAGCCGGGGCTGTCAGGTAGCCCCGGGGCCAGCACACCCTGACCCGCCCTTGCCAGCGCCCGTCACCTTCTTCCTGTTCGGGTGAGAAGATCACGACAGATCACGCCGGGACAGGCATGGGGCAGCTCCAAGCCACCTTCGGCGCTGCCAAGGCATCGTGCCACGGAGGCACCCGTTGTCACCCCCTCCCAGGGAGCAAGGGTCTGGAGTGGCCCGAGGAGGGGTGCAGTGGGCGATGCCAGGGCTGGAGCAGGGGTCTGCTGGGATAGCTGGAGGCTCCAGGGAGTAGATTTGGGAGATCTCAGGGGGATGGGGGTCCACAGCACAGGAGCGCCAGGCTGTCCCACCACTGAGGCGGGTGTTGGAGAGGGTAAAGAAAACGAAGCACAGCGGGGTCTGAGCAGCTGCCGTTTAATGTGGGAAGGCTGCGACGCGGGGATGGATGGCAGCACAGTCGGGGGGGCCACCGCGAGCCACCTCCTCCTGCCCCTGGCCCCGGCACCCCGCTCGGGTGGTTGCTGAGGGGGACCATGGATGGGTGCACCCAAGGGGATAGGGTCGGGTCCGGGAGTCACCCCCCCTCCATGCCGGTGCACAGTCCTGCTCCCGCCTCCCTGACCGGTTCTCCCAGCCCAGCCGCTGCCTTCCCACTCCCAGGATAATGATGCCCCCGCCCCGGGGAGCTGCCACGAGAAATCACATATTTGTACAGCCGCTCCAAGCCCCAAAAGTAGGTCAAAGTCAAAATTTAGGGTACAGGCAGGTGAGAGCCCCCGCTGCCCCTCGCGACCCTGCTGGGGCTTGCAGATCCACCGCGACCCCATGACCGCGTGGGACAGGTTTGGTGTCCCCACCAGCACCATTGCCCACCCCGATGGATGCGTCCTGGGTGGTTTTACCCGACGAGAGCCCCATGCCACCCGCAGGACAGCGCTGGGAGCTGCATCACCGCGCGGCACACCCCGATACTGGGAGCCAGCAGATGCTCTGGGTGGGGATCGGGTGGTTTTTCGGAGAAAATGCCACGGCTGGGTGCTCCAGGGCGAGCAGGACCCCCTCCGGGGGGGCGGGGGGGGGGCAGCCAGGACAGGATCTCCCTGTTCCCTGTCTCAGCCGAGATTAAAGAACCAGCTTCAATCCCCCAGTGAACAAAGGCAGCTCTGTCTGGCCCCCCCTTGCACCGCCCCGGCGCCCAGCCCTCCCTGCCCCGGCTCCCGG